CTCTCTCAATCCCTCACTCGCTGTTTATTTTTCCTCTCATACAGTCGCGCGCCATCTATCTCCTCCTTTTCCTGTGTCTTTATCTCGTCCACTCTCACTTGCAGACACAGACACCGGCGGGATCTGCGGGACCTGAATCCCCTGACTTGGGTAAAGAGGGAGATGATCGCCGTCTTGCCGGTGAATTGGTCGGTCTGTGGCATTATAAATATAATGAATTTTGGCGAAATGTGTAAATAAAATATGAATAGAGGGGAAAATAAATTTTAAAATATATATATATATTTTCAAAAATATATAAATATATATATATATATATATATATATATATATATATATATATATATATATATATATATATATATATATATATATATATATATATATATATATATATATATATATATATATATTTTTTTTTTTTTTTTAAATTCGAAGTACTAAATATGACATTTTTCATGCTAAATCCTAAATGTTAAAATTGGTTGATTTTGGATTTGTTGTTAATTCAGTAGCTGGAACATTTAATACGAGTTACGTTCGGTTAAAATCGTCTAACTGCGACGGTATGTATCTGCACAGGAAATTCTTGAATTGAATGTGGTGGTTCTGTTGTAGCTTTATGGACCGATCAGGGTAAATAGTCACCGCGTTGGACGGTTATAACAAGAATAATAAATAAATAAATAAAGGGGAAAAAATGCCATCGACAAGCAAAGCAACGAGCAAAGCTGATAAGAAGGCTACAGTGGATGCGGCTGCATGGGTGTTCAACGTAGTCACTTCAGTCGGGATTATTATCGTCAATAAGGCATTAATGGCTACTTACGGATTCAGCTTCGGTAAGTCCGTTTCCCTCTTTCGGCAGCGCATTTACTTTTAGTTTACATGATCGAAGTTGAACTATTACCCGATTTCTGAACTATAGATAACACAAATATTTTTGTTGAGATGCTTTGTGTAGGCTTGTTAATCGTTGAGGATATGAATGCATGCAGTATAGGATATTTGTTAGACTACCGAACACTTTTTCGTGCTATTCTTGTTCCTACTTTTAAATAAGTATACGACACTGTCGGAAGTTGGACCAGAAATTAGGGAGTTAAAGATCCATCCTGTATTTTTAGTTCCGTTGTGTTTGAACAAATACGTTTTCTTCTTTGTTCGATGCAAAGACATAGGAAAAACCACTTTGTTTCATTCTATTAAAATTTAATCAACGACCAAAATCTTTGCTGTTTTTTAATGGTGGACTTGGTGTCGTAATTCTTTTTTTTTTTTCAGTTCTTTTTTTACTTTCTGTTATACAATAGAACCTCGATAAATTAATAACCTCATTTAAATAATAAATTATCCCTGTCCTGACTCGGTGAAAACGTATTAAATTATTAGTTCGATAATTTAATATTTCGCTGAATTGATAGAATTTTGGTAGTCCCGACTGAATTAATTTTTAGAGGTTTAACTGTATTGCAACTTGTGCAGCTACAACGTTAACCGGTTTGCATTTTGCTACCACAACACTGATGACGGCCGTCTTAAGGTGGTTGGGTTACATCCAACCTTCTCATCTGCCGTATTCCGAGCTCCTTAAATTCGTCTTCTTTGCAAATTTCTCTATTGTTGGGATGAACGTCAGCCTAATGTGGAATTCAGTGGGATTCTACCAGGTAAACTAAAAAAAGGAAATAAATAAAATCGAGAATATTTGGAAACTTCTACGGGTACACTTTCTAAAAGGGTCATTTTCGTCTTTTGTACTATCAGATCGCAAAGCTGACCATGATCCCAGTATCCTGCTTACTGGAAGTCGTGTTCGACAAGATCCGATATTCACGAGACACGAAGCTTAGCATCTTAGTTGTTCTCCTCGGCGTTGCAGTTTGCACAGTTACTGACGTGAGTGTTAACGGCAAGGGATTCATCGCTGCATTTATTGCAGTTTGGAGTACGTCGCTTCAACAATACGTAAGTTATACACTCGATATTTTAACCTTATTATAAGTAAATAAGAATTTATATATCTATTATATGTATATATATGTCGAGCACATACGAGGTTGATCAAATTTCATAATCGTGGATTTTGTTTTGCAGTATGTTCATTATCTTCAGAGAAAGTACTCCCTTACTTCCTTCAATTTACTCGGCCACACAGCACCAGCACAAGCTGCATCACTATTGTTGATAGGCCCGTTTCTCGATTATTTGTTGACAAACAAGAAAAAAGACGCGCACACTTTTCACACACCGTCTCTGGTGAGCGCGCCCCACTGTGTGTGTTTAAATTCACTTACTTATCGATATAGAGTGTCTCGTGGTGAAAACACTCTCTGTGTTCTTGCGCGGGGCGCGTCACACATATATATATATATATATATATATATATATATATATATATATATATATATATATATATATATATATATATATATATATATATATATGGTTACACCTCTATAAACTAAGAGAGTCGGGACTAGGGAAATTCTATTAATTTAGCGAATTATAAAATTATCGAGTTATAATTTAATACGTTTAACTGAGTCGGGATCAAAAAAACTATTATTTAATCGGGGTTATTAATTTATCGAGTATTAATTTATCAAGTTTCTACTGTATATATGTCTTGATTTTTCTGCAGGTGTTCATGATCCTGTCATGCACTATTGCAGTGGGAACTAATCTAAGTCAGTTCATCTGCATAGGCAGATTCACGGCTGTTTCGTTCCAAGTACTCGGACACATGAAAACGATCCTAGTATTAATCCTCGGATTCTTGTTTTTCGGAAAAGAAGGTCTTAATATACAAGTAGTTATCGGAATGGTTATTGCAGTTATTGGAATGATCTGGTACGGCAATGCCTCGTCAAAGCCAGGTGGCAAAGAAAGGCGCAGCTCGAGATCCAGTCAGCAAAAACACGCGGGATCTTCTTTAGAATCTTCCGATGTCGATGAAAAGGTATAAGTACAATAACACTTTCTCTACAGTTGAAATTTAGCATACGGAAAAAGATAGCGTTGATTTTGTATTTCTTATTTATTTATTTATTTATTTTTTGCTCGGAAATTCATGTTTCCTCAAAATTAACCTTTATAAGTAAGTGACCCACAAAGCAGTTTCGAGAAAATTAACAATTCTATACATGTAACGAAATCAAATCGAGTTTTTAGTTGAAGTTATTTAGACGATCGAGTCGGATGAATCAATTCTTCTTTCTTCGTTTTGATTCTTGGTCTTGTCTTTGTTATTTGGATACATGAGGTACATTTGTATTGCTCCCACTGCACAGCCAAATCCATTCGTTATCTGGAAAAGTAGTCGATTATTTAGTCGGCTGATATTTATATATATATATATATATAAAAAAAAAAAAAAAACCCGAAAATCACAGTATTTGTACTTACGATCATAAAATGGTCTTGTCTAAGTACGGCAAACGCAAACCAGAATGCCCCGTTCAAGAACATCAACGTTGAACTGTAGAATGACATGAATTCCACGTCTTTTGTCTCAATCACCGAGACCTACATTTTTTTTTCGACAAAAAAAATAAATAAATCACCAATTAATTAAGAAATATCATTAATTATATGGCAAAACACGAGATACTTACGAGTGATAAAGTATAGAGAACCATGGATAAAGCAGTGGCTAAAGATCCGGTGAAAAGCGGACTAATATTCTCGGGCATTGAAAACGGAACAAATGTACTAGTGAGCACAGCGACCGTTAAAACAGCGAGTTCTCCTATACGTTTGTCTAATATCACGTTTTTCGGTGAAAGAAACATTAATATCATGATATAATGAATAATGATGCCACAATATATTGCATTCGCAATTACGGCAAGCAAATTCAATGACCAGTATGCATACCTATTCGACGACAAACGCAAAAATTAACCAATTAGAGAATATATTTTGTGAATGAAATTATTGTTATTCATCTGTAAATAATTAGGGAGAAAAGAAAAAGAAAAAAAAAACGCACGTACACCATACAAAACATGCAGTTCATATACGCCAACAAATACGGGGTTACTGATAACTTTTCCGATGACCTTTCCTCCACAGCCCTTAAGATAATTTTCCTATATTAATAAAAACATTGGGAATCATTTAACATGAAAGTCGGAAAAAAAAAAAAAAAAAAAAAAGGAATTTCGTGGCTTACATCGGTGTGAAGTAAAGAAGTACCCCCGGCACGATTCCTGTTTCATGAAAAAAAGAAAACATAATCGTGGAGAAACAATATAAGTAAATAGAATATAGTAAAAAAAAGAAGAAGAAGAAGAAAAACACGTACCGGCAAGTCCAACCGCCACCTTAGGGTCATTATTTATAATAGCTAAAAGATTCTCCATGTATATATCTGTAATAATAATAATAATTTAAAATTTAATTATTGAAAAAAAATTCTTAAATCAAACATTCATCAATGTTTGTTGAAGAAATTTCGTGACGAAATATTATTGATAAGCAGATATATGTATATATATGGAGTTTTAATGGAGTAGTTTGGTATTTTAGTGTTTCCAGAAATCCTAGTATAAGCATGATTATGATTATTATATGCTTATTGAGTTATAATTAAATTACTGGGCAACAAACTAGGAAAAATCCCTTATGTTTGAGTAATTACAACCACCCATTCTTTTAAATATTTTTACATAAAATTTATGTAATTCGGTTATTTACCGAACCAAATCGTATATTCAGTTCGGTAAACGGTATGAAATATTAGCGTACCGAGATTTTGGTTGAGTTTTACTGATTTAACATCACTAAATTTACCTCTGAAGGAGTATTTTTATAAGATAATATACATAGTTGAGGGGTGACCGCAATTACTCAAATAATAGGGGATTTTTAGTAATTTGACTATAACTCAGGGGTGGCCGGAATTGAATATATATATATATATATATATATATATATATATATATATATATATATATATATATATATATATATATATATATATTTCCTCACCGTCTTCTGCCATTCCTTTTCCCCCTTTCTCGTTCCGCCACCGTCGGCGCCGGAAGTAACCACCACCAAATCTCCGGCCTCCTCCTCCTCCGACTCCCCTCTCCTTCTTCCCCCGCCCATCCGCCTCTCTCAATACCCCTAACCGACGAAACTTGCTTCTTCTGCAGAACAT